AATATTAAAATATTAGGCTTCCAGGGCGCTTTGCTCCCATCAACTTTAATTTTTTTCTCTTTTAAGGCATTTTCTCTTCTAAAAATTTGTTTATTGATTTATCAATTTTCTTCGTAGATTTAAAATATTTTAAAATATTTATTTCTCTCAGCACCCATCAATATTTTACCGGAATATATGCATTAATATCAATATAACAGTTCTAAGGTGATAATTACACAAAAATGCAAGCAATTTGGTGTAAGGCGGAAGGTGGGCCAAAGGGTTTTAGTGTGAAGGAATTTAGGGGGGGGGGTATTTATGTAAAGGAATTGAAGGGTGAGGTGGGGGTTACGTTGGTAATTCCTAGGATAGTATAGAAAGGGGAATATTTCACCAAGGGATTTATGACCAGGGAAATTTGTGAAATTGATCTGGACACCCATCTAGCTATTTAGCTATCTAGCTATCTAGCTATTTAGCTATCTAGCTACCAGCTATTTAGCTATCTAGCTATCTAGCTATTTAGCTATCTAGCTATCTAGCTATCTGGCTATCTAGCTATCTAGATATAGACCTCTCTAGCTATCTAGCTATCTAGCTATCTAGCTATTTAGCTATCTAGCTATCTAGCTATCTAGCTATCTAGATATAGACCTCTCTAGCTATCTAGCTATCTAGATATTTATCTCTCTAGCTATCTAGCTATCTAGCTATCTAGATATTTATCTCTAGCTATCTAGCTATCTAGCTATCTAGCTATCTAGCTATCTAGCTATCTAGATATAGACCTCTCTAGCTCTCTAGCTCTCTAGGTATCTAGCTATCTAGCTATCTAGCTATTTAGCTATCTAGCTATTTAGCTATCTAGCTATCTAGCTATCTAGCTATCTAGCTATCTAGCTATCTAGCTATCTAGCTATCTAGCTATCTAGCCTTCAATCTGATTCTATCTTTCCTTGTATATCTTTCTTTATTTCTTATCTGTTAAATAAGGACCCACGAGGGAATCCCATAAAACGTCGGAATAGGAAGACGACTGAAGTAATAGTTTTAAATATTCCAATGAATATCTAACACAACTATTTCACTTTATAATTTGATTCTAAGATATTGATATTCCGACGCAAAAATCTATCATGATTTTGCGAATCCCGGCCCGATCTAATTAGTAGGTGACTAGTAGTGATTAGCTTTCAGCCTTTACCCCCTTTCATTTTCCCTTTACTGTCCCTTTAAGACGTTGTAGAGAAACATAAGAATTTTTCAAAAATATGAACACCCAGTTAATCATTGAATCCCTCGGGGGTTTAAATGGATTCTAATTTGTCTGGGAGTAAATGATATATTCATTTAATCTTTCTTACTGCTGTTTTTTCTATAATGAGCCAGCGATATTTTACATTTTGACGAGGTTTTTTTTCTTTTGAACTTACAAGACGAAAATGAACATTTCCTTCATAAAGTCCCATCCTTGTTTGTAGTTTAGTTCGAGGTCAGCTAAAAGTTCCGGACTCTGAACTAACATTTTATCCTTTCCTTACCTCTCCACTCTCAGAACTAAAGTAATGATATGAATATATGATAGATAAATAAAATAAATGTTTTTATCTCTAGTACGTACTAGTAGTACTAGTAGTAACCCTGTAAGGGCGTCAAGAAATCTATCATTCTAAATTCAAATCTAAATTCTGCTTGCTTATATCAAACATGGTAAATTCTGCTTGCTTTTATCAAACATGGTGAATTCTGCTGGCTTAAATCAAACATGGTAAATTCTGCGTGCTTATATCAAACATGGTAAATTCTGTTTGCTGATATCAAACATGGTAAATTCTGCTTGCTTATATCAAGCATGGTAAATTCTGCGTGCTTAAATCAAACATGGTAAATTCTGCTTGCTTATATCAAACATGGTGAATTCTGCTGGCTTAAATCAAACATGGTAAATTCTGCTTGCTTATATCAAACATGGTAAATTCTGCTTGCTTATATCAAACATTATAAGTTCTGCTTGCTTATATCAAAAGTAAAAATACAATGAGATTATTGAAATAAACATAAATTTATGTTTTTTTAAATTTTGATCTATTTTAGATCGAAAACATTTAATCGTTGCCAAAGACAAATTTTGACAAATAAAATAAAGTTTTCTGTGCAAACTTTTATTTTCTTGACACCCTGGTGGGCTGTTAGTAAATTCTACTGTGTGAAACACAGGACACCGATATTGCAGAAACCACTCCGGAAAATTATATTTGTCTTTGTATTTCTATTCTACTGTAGTAGGACGTGGGGTGGATGAAAGGGGGAGGGGTTATATTTTTAGCAGATTTGACTATAATTAACAAATGTTTCCGTCAGATTGTTCTGATCAGACAAATTTACTAATTTAGATTTGTAATGAAAAACAAATTGATATGGTCAAAGCGGGGATTTATAGTCCTTGCATATGCAATACTTTTCAAAGAGTTTGTGGCAAAGAATCAACTCCTTTGGCTAGATTTGTCCAAGTTTTAATCCAAAGTTGTCCAAAGAAATTTCATTTTAATTATTAATAGTGAATTTCCGTATCTTAAATGGAGTTTAAGCAGTGGTTTTAAGTCTTGTTTTTCCCATATTGAAAAGTTTCCGACAGTTTGATTAAATTGATTGAGATTATTTAGATTAATTTTTTATATTTTCAATTTTTGAAAAATATGAAATAAACATATAATATTTACTTTAAGAGACAAGAGACTAAAGCTACTAGTTGAAGGAAAGGAACAAATATTTCTCTTCAAACTTTGTGAAAACTTTGGACTAATTTTCTAAAAGGTTTTGCTTGAAAACACCTAGTGTGTATATTATATTTGGTAATATTATTACAGAACTTGTCGGTCCGTTTCATCTTTCATTCTGTTTGTTAAAGGATCTGTAGACGATATTCTAAGTCTCAAGTAACCCTCTCTTATAATGTGGCACGCTCTATTCACAACCATTTTCTTAAAATCAAGTTTGAATATGAAATCCATGACTTTTCTTTAGAAATTTGTCATTTTCAATTTTGGTTTTTATGTAAAAGTCATTTAAAGAATTCTTGCTACAGAAAAAATTGAGGACACTTTTCATTCTAGATAAATAAGGATATTATCCACATTATTGAACAGATAAATGGTTTCGATGTTAACAATGTAAATCTGCCATTTTTAGCCTTTATTTTATTCCGACTTTAAAACTTAGTTTTAAATTGTTTCTGTCCTTTACACATACTTTTATTATTAAACTTAAACCATCTTAAAGGGAGTGTTCGCAAAAAATGAAAGGAGGTATAGGCTTAATGCGATAAAAAAGCACTTTTGATCGCTACTAATCTTACTTCTATCTGTTGCGTCTATAAGGAGAAAATTGTTAAAAACGACTAATACCGAAGAACGTAGTGTCCATACAAATTCAGAAAGATGCAACATTCAACTCGGATCGTAAACAAATCAATTTAATTCCGAACAAATCATTCAGATATTACAAACAGCAGTCATCGATTATTTTTCGAATCATTCGTGTAGAGTTAATACTAACATTTCATAATATTTTTGATTTTTTAATAATTTTCGCTGGGGCTTGATTTTCGAACATTCCTGGAAAATATGAAAATGTCGTCTTCATTACCAAAAATCATTGAAACAGGAATAAATGTTTCCAGAAGTAACTCTCAGATCATGAAAAATACAAAACATTATGAAATATCAACTATTTACGAATGCGTCGAAAAATAATCGATGACTGTTACATCTTTCCGAATTTGTATGGACGCTTTGTTCTTCGGTGATTAGTAGCGATCAAAAGCGCTTTTTTACCACACTAAGCCTATACCCCCTTTCATTTTTCGCTAACACTCCCTTTAAGGCTTTTGCTTGTCCTCTAATATACTAGTTATTTCTATTCTTCCTTCAAATAATCTTCTCCAACAATCTGTCTTTATTTCATTCTCTCTTTTGCTCTTCTTTTGTTCCTAAACTTTAAACTTTTATCTTTCGACTATAATATTCACCGTATAAATATCCCCTAATCTGTTGAGTTTGTTCACCGAGATTTATTGGACAAGTTTTGAAAATAATGAAATCTATTTATTTGTCTGGATATGGTATGATTGTCCGTAATTTCCTTGGTCAGGGACAACAATGGATACAAAGCGATGATAGATTGATCATATGGATACACTTGCTAGATCCCACAAGAAGGGTGGGGGGGGGGGGATAAGGGTCAAAATATTGAAAAGGTTAAAGAGACTGTCAACGTAACTTCAAGTGACGAATGATTAATAAAAATAGGAAGTCCGATTCACAACGGTACCCGTTCTTTGATCTACATATTCTAGTTAATGTATTTGAAAACTAAATTGTTCATTGCTTGCTTTAGAAGCGATGAAGAAATTTACCAAGATGTTTTTCACATTAATTGTCAGATTAAGGTTTCAACGGTACCATTATGAATTGGGTAGGCCTTTTTTTATTAGTCCCTTTCAACTCCACCCCCCCCCCATACCCTTCGTCTTTAACCAATATAAGATGGAAAAGAAAGAACCTTGATTCTGGACAATTAGCTAAACCATTCAACCTTTATATAGAACAAACCAGTGCACTTATACACTAGACTAAACTCAAAACCAGAAAATTAGATCAAACTAATATATTTTTCTGTTTATCGTTAAAATACAATACATTTTATAATAATTAGATACAATATTAATTATCATACACAAACCTTGAAAAAAATTATTTATTTAGTATGTATTAATAAATTTATTAAATTTTTAAAACCAAATAAAATAAAAACAATGAACAGAAATTTTAACTAATGAACAATAATTAATTAAGTCATAAAAAAATAAGAGGTAGTCATAAAACACATTACACATAGAAATATCAGTTTTGAAGCTTAAAACGCTTCTTGAGCGTAAAGTGTCAAAATAGTTTTAATGCATATAAACATACACTGTACAATGTACAGAAAACAGAATAATTAAATAGGAACAGTACAGCTGAGCAAGCATTGTTGTACTCGAGTCAAAAATAGGTACATATTGCACAATGTAAATAATAACACAATATTCGCGAGAAATTGAACAGAAAAATGAACTACTAGAACTTATATGTATGTCTATTGAACACCGTACGGCCTTCATGAGTAGATAAGAACTTGTACATTAGTTCACAACTACCAGATCTAAGTACAAACCAATAATAAAATACATGATCACACACTTTTTAATCGGACTGCCGCAACGGTAATCTAGAAACCGACCTTTATCTTATCTATACCGGGGAAGTATGGGAAGTAAACATAAAATTATAAATGGAGAATTATCAGTTTTCAAACGTTAAAAGCTTGGATATCTAATTTATACTTGATGATGCAAATTGCTTTTAAAATGGATACACTAGAAATTATGTCTTAACTGATAAGTCCCTTTAAGCACTGTATACGTTGTACAATAAACATGGTTTTAGGAGTTCATTTTATCTAAATAATACAGTAGAATTGTTTAAATCAATCAAAAGAGATCTATGTCTGGAATAAACATATCAGAGCTAGTATTAAAATAGAAAAAAAATTCGGCAACATTTGAAAACCATTTTTCTATTTATATCTGCTGATTTCGTCAGGAGTTATAGGAATGAAAGACGTATCGGATTTTTTGTTGTGAAGGTTGAATATTCATGCATTAAGCATTAAGCGATGAATTTACACATATAACAAACTTGGAGTTTTCGATTTCAAATTTTCAGATTAAAATGTTTAGATGTTGTTAGGGTTGTTAATCGTTTTTGGAAAAAACGATCGTTTTTGAAAATTTTTTTTATTGAAAATTATATTAACGATCGTTAACGAAGGGTCGTCGTTAACGAAAGGTTGTCGTTAACGATAGTTAACGAAACGACGAACTTTATCAAAACGGTCTTTTTTTTGGAAAAAAATAACATGCAACTTTATTGAATGTCGTCTTACATGAAGTTTAACAGTTGTGGGGGAGTTAAAACTCCTTGATATTTTCTTAAAAACTACTCAATGGTAAGTACAGATGCCCTTCAGGTCGGTTTCCTCTCTTCGTTAACGATCGTTAACGAAGGTCCGTCGTTAACGAAGGTTCGTCGTTAACGATCGTTAACGAAACGACGAATTTTATAAAAACGATTGAAAAACGATCGTTTTGAAAAACGAACGTTTTGAAAAACGATCGTTTTAAAAACCACCATTTCAAAAAAACGAACTTTTTAAAAAAACGTTCGTTTCGTTTTCGATTTTTGTCGTCGTTTTCATAACGAAACGATCGTTTTTCTGAAAAATGAAAACGTTAACATCCCTATATGTTGTTAGTATCCTTCTCCTCCTCCACAGGTAAATCAACAATATATTTGTCACAAACACTCTCCTAGAAAATTGAAAGGAATTATAAATAAAAAATTACAAGAATTTTTTTTAATTTTTATAATTTATTATTTTTAAATCGTTTATTCAAATGGGCCTCAAAATTAACTTTTAATTAGCAAGTACCAAGCACCTAGATCATATTGGATTATCTCCGAATTCAAGAATGTCATTTATTTCTCACCAGAACTATATATAAAATAAGTATAAAAACTATATATAAAAAAGTATAAAAATTTCAAAGTCAGTAAAGATTTTACAAGCAAAAATAGACCCGATTCCTCACTAAAGTTTAAGATTTTTTTTTACCTTTTTGAAATCTGTTCCCTCCTTTTCTGTAGTATATGAGGTCAGACCATTTGGGGACTAAAACAATTTTGTAAGCATTAAAAAAAGTAAAAACTGCAGACCCAAGAAACACTACAAATTTACCAGAGATATTAAAAGTTTTGCTAAGATTTCAATTTATTGAAGAAAACCAGGAAAGCGTCTAATTTTCTACGAAACTAGTCAATTTCTTGTTATTTGAAAGACAAAAAATAGCAGACAACATTTTGGAAAAGGCAGGACTATATGGCTATTTTGTGACTGTTTCATGAAAACTATTTCTAAAATTAAGTTGCCAAATTGAATGCTGCAAACTGTTTCTAAGGTCAAAGACGACATCAAAGTGTAAAACTATTTAGTTTATTATTCTGGTTTATTTATATTAATAGATTAGCACTGTAGGTAGGTACGATCGCTTTCAAATAACCCTTCATATGATTTTCAACGATTAATTTAAATCTTGAGTAACAATTTTATCGTCATTTTCAATCTTAAAAGTATGTTAATTATCTCAACTGTTTTCCTAGTCTCTGCAGCAAAAATCCCAGTCTTATTTAGAAATAACAATTGAAATTCATCCATTTTTTTAGAACGAGAAATGCATGATGGAGTTCATTATAGCGTTATTTCAGTTGTATATTATAGCAAAAGCCCTGTGCTACAAATTTTAATTGGTTTTCAGAATTTCTCAAAAAAACTTTTTCAATTTGAACGAGACTAATATTTTAATAGTTGTGCACTTTTCTATTCCTGCTTTGTCAAAAAGCTTGTTATATCTAAATTTAGATAAAAAAGAAGTATATGTTAACATTTTTAAATTAGACAACTCTGCAAATCAAAGGTTTCTTAAAAGCTAATTCGAGTGTCTCTTCAGGATTCAGATTTATGACATTGATATTTCACCTTCGTATTTCCTTCAGCCTTCTCCTCCAATACAATCCCGTTATCTCTGAAATAAATATTTAATAAAAAATCTGAAAATCAACTTCAACACAAAAAAATTAACCCCCTCCCCCACCCCCCCGTCATCTCTCTTGTAATTTAGAGCAAAAGCGAGGATGTATGAGAATGCAACAGGTTTAGAACTAAATTCTATTTTTCCATCTAGTTTGTTTATTGCTTACCTGTGATTTGTATCGTTACTCTTCCTACTTATACCCCGGGTAAGAACAGGTACTGGACCGTTTCCATTACTCAGAGATACTTCTTTAACAGAACAAATGAAATAACAAATAAGGTCTATCATGTAGAATAATTGAAATAAATTTTGATTCTATTGAAATAAAACTGAAACTCAGGCTTAGCTGAATGGGAAAACATTCGGGAATAATAAAAATCAATGATTGAAACAATTTAAATTTAAATAAATGAAATCTATCTATAAATTTGGCTTGTCTGTCTGTTTGTCTGTCTGTTTGTATCCAATAAACGTCAAAACGGCTGAACCGATCGGGCCCAAACTTTTTGTGGGACATCTAGGGACCCCAGGGAAGGTAATGAATGATCAAAAATTCAAATATTTGTCTCCATCAAAATTCGATCTTCATTAAATTTTTGAAAATTTTGAAAATCCACGAAATTTTTTTGTGAAAATCCGCGAATTATTTTTGTTTTGTTTTACGATGTACACAAAGAGAACATGTTTACAATTAATTTAGAAGATGGGCGCGAAGCGCCCTCTAAGGCTAGTATAGTATATTTCAAACTAAAAGACCTAGCCCCACCCCCCTCTTCTTTGCACAGATTTTATATTTGTATGTTTGTCCCACTGCTATGACAGTTTACAGATAACCTTTTATCTAAGAAATAATTTGCGGCATTCGACCGACAACCATATTTTACAAATACGATTCTTAAAACTAATACCCTTAATCCTGTCATTTCCTAAATGTGATCAACATTTTTTTCCGATATAAAAATTACCGGATAGATAACTATTGAAGATTAAAGACGATCTTTAAGTTGTCTCTAAACTGGGCAGGAAGGAAGTTAAGGAAGTTTAGTGCGCATGCCGCGTTGAATTACAAGACAGAGTATAGAGCCTGTTCTAGCTGCGGCGCTAGGCCCTCTAGCCTGGCCTAGCCCCAGCGCTCGGCACAGAAAGTGTCTTAATCTAACCTAACCCTAACATAATTACTAATCTATCTCTTTCTTGTAATTCAACGCGGCAAGTGCACTTAACTGACTCTAAAGTCATGTTTAGTGGAACATCCTGTACCTCCGCTTGATTGTGGGACTCCAAATGATAAACCAGTATAGGTTGAATTTCGACTTATCAAACCATCTAAACAATTCATATATTTTTTACAAGACCAATATTTTCATATTATAGTATTGACTGAATAGGTTTTAGGATGTTAGGTACTTTCCCAAGCGGCAACTTCCCAAGGGTATTTCCCAAGAGACAACTTCCCGAATGTCTAATTTCCCAAGCGCCAACTTCCCATGTCTGTCCTAGCCGCAACGCTCGGACCCCTAGCCTGTTCTAGCTGCGGACCCTCAGCCAATTCTTTGCCGCAGCGCTTGGCCCCATTGCACATATGGGAAGTTGTCACTTCGAAAAATTGTCGCTTGGCACTTGTCTCTATGCTAATCTGTCCTATATTGACTCAGTGGTAACCATTCCCATTTTTTATTATACTAACCTCTCCCATAATGCCTATATGCAAACGTTTCCATATCTAATCTTTACTAACCTTTCAAATATGTTTTTTATACTAGTCTTTCCCTTGTTTTTGATGCTGACCTTTCCCATATTTTCTCTGCACTAATCTTTCCCATATTAGCTCTATGCTAACCTTTCCCAAATTGTCTTCATTCTAACCTTTCACGTATTTTCTCTGCACTAACCTTTCCCATATTTGCTCGAGCTAAGTGCTAACCTTTCACATAATGTCTCTATGCTTACCCTTTACATTTTTTCTTCATTTTAACCTTTCCCATATTCGCTCTATACTAATAGTTTACATATTGTATTCATGCTACCCTTTCCCAATTAGTCTCTATGCTAACCTTTCCCTTATTATCTCTAAGTTAATCTTTCCCATATTGGCTTTATTCTAATCTTTCCCATATTTTCTCTATACTTACCTTTTCCATGTTGGTTTTATTTTAACTTTTCCCATTTTATCTCTATGCCAACCTTTTCCATTTAGTTTCTATGCTAGCCTTACCCATGCTGTCCTTTTGCTAATTTCTCCCATATTGTTTTTATGCTAACTTTTCCATGATGTCCTTAGTCTAACCTTTCCCATTAAGTTTCTATGCTAGCCTTTCCCATGATTTCCTTATGCTAATCACTCCTATATTCTTTGTACTAGCCTTTCCCATTTTGTCTTTATTCTAAACTTTTCCATATTGTCTTTATTCTAAACTTTCCATATTGTCCCATATTCCCATAGTTATCTTATGCTAATCACTCCCATATTGTCTAAATGCTAACCTTTCCCATATTGTTTGCGTGACTCTACTCTGCCTCTGTTGGAAATAATGGAACCACAAGAACGACGGGAGGCAATAGAAGGTCGTCTTCCAGTTCGTATTGAACTTCTAAAAAATGGGATTAATAACACAATTAATCTTTCGATCATTTTTGGTAAGTGTCTATTTGTTTTGCCGCCAAAACAGAGATCTTTTTGTATTCTTTTCAAATCTATGAAGAAAAATGGTTACAGGTTAAGCATTTTTACAAGATAAAAACCCTCTCTGGAAGATTTGTTGAATAATGAATATAAATGGTTACCCTAGTCTGCTTAGTCTAGATTTGATACTGGGTCTAAGGTTTACGATCAATCCTTGATCGTCCTGATCCTTCTCAGTAACTAGAATACCACCATTTAATGACTATATGGCCGTCAAACCATTTTAAACTGGAAATGCCCAATTCACAACGGTACCCTTTAAACCTTTATCAGATCATTGGTTTTCTAGCTTTAAAGTGTTAGGTCAGTTTCTTTATAGTTTACTTCAGTAGAGAACCCAAAATTTAAAATATATCATGGTGGGAATGAGAGAAAGGTTAGGGGGGGGATGAAGGTTAGAATATAAAACCAAATGTATTTAAATGGTTTGTTTTCCTAATGCCATTCCATCCTCCTCCACATACACATTGTCTGTAGGCATCTGAGGTCCTGAGTCTATGAACTCTTTAGAACTAAATAATAAACATGTTGTCAGGGGCGCACAAGGAGGCAGTGCCCCTTAAAATTTGCATTTTCCCTTTTAAAGCTTAGACCCCCCCCCCCATAAGTACATCCTATATGAACAAACCAAATTTGGGATATTTTACCGTTTGTCCATGAGCTCTAGTAAGAGGTTGTGGGGAAAAATAAAAAAAAAGGGGGAAGAGGGAAAGAAAGAGGGGTAAGAGGGTAGGAAAAAGGGGTAAGAGGGTAGGAAAAAGGGGGAAGAGGGAAGGAAAAAGGAGTAAAAGGAAAGAAAAAGGGGTAAGAAGGTAGGAAAAAGGGGGGAAAGGGGAAGAAAAAAGGGGGAAGAGGGAAGGATAAAGGAGGAAGAGGGAAGAAAAGAAAAAAGAAGAAAAGAGAAAATTTGTTTTTTATCTGCTAGGTTTGGATCACACGGGAAATTTCCAAAAACCTTTTAGGTGTAAATTGTTATATTTGCCCCCCCCGGCCCCCCAGGGAGAGAAAAGGGGAAATGGGAAGGAAAAATGGGGAAGAAATAATTTATCATATTTTCCCTTGATATTTTGGATTAATAAGCATCACCTCATGGTGTGAGGAAGAACATTAGGCGGGATCTCGTATTCTCCGAAAGGATCTTCTTGAACCACATCTTCTCTCTCTACCATCAGATATCCGAGCTGGAGATTTCTAAACATATCTTAATACAGTAGATGCTACCAAACCATGATTCAGATTACAAGTTTAAAGGGAGTGTTCGCGAAAAATGGAAGGAGAAATATGTTGACGTCGAACTGAATTCGATATGGTTCGTTAGTAATTTTACTTAATTCTGTTCCGTCTATTAGGAGAAAATGGTTAAAAACGACCTATACCGAAGAGCAGAGAACCCATACAAAATTGTCAAATCAGAGTAAATCAAAAATACAGGAAGTTCCTGATTTTAAAACAAAAAATACACAAAAATCTCTTCCTAAATCAATAAATAAAGAAAATTTTAAAACAATACTAAAATGAATCATACTTGTGTTACCTAAAGGTTCACTAAAACTACATTGACATTGCGTGAGATACTTTTTATAGAAAATGTAAAAGCTATAATCGATAAATAAATGCACTTAAAGAGACTGTAACTTGTAAGCGAAATTATAAGTGACCCTCCATGCAAAGCTGGCAATGCCCGAACCTTTAAAACCTTTTATCTGATCAAGTACAAATTAGATATGCATATTTTTTTAACTGTTTATTTTCATTTGCGGTTTCTCTGCAATAATATAATAATAAATCTGAACATATCAATAATATAATTATAAAATCTGAAGCTGTCAATAATATAATTATAAAATCTGAAGCTGTCAATAATATAATTATAAAATCTGAAGCTGTCAATAATATAACTATAAAATCTCAACCTGTCAATAATATAATTATGAAATCTTAACCTGTCAATAATGTAATTATAAAATCTTAACCTGTCAATAAGATAATTATAAAATCTTAACCTGTCAATACTATAATTATAAAATCTCAACCTGTCAATAGTATAATTATAAAATCTCAACCTGTCAATAATATAATTATAAAATCTGAATCTGTCAATAATATAATTATAAAATCTTAACCTGTCAATAATATAATTATAAAATCTGAATCTTTCAATAATATAATTATAAAATCTCAACCTGTCAATAATATAATTATAAAATCTTAACCTGTCAATAATATAATTATAAAATCTCAACCTGTCAATAGTATAATTATAAAATCTCAACCTGTCAATAATGTAATTATAAAATCTGAACCTGTCAATAAAATAATTATAAAATCTCAGCCTGTCAATAATGTAATTATAAAATCTGAACCTGTCAATAATTAAATTATAAAATCTGAACCTATCAATAATATGATTATAAAATCTTAACCTGTCAATAATGTAAATATAAAATCTCAACCTGTCAATAATATAATTATAAAATCTCAACCTGTCAATAGTATAATTATAAAATCTTAACCTGTCAATAATATAATTATAAAATCTGAACCTGTCAATAGTATAATTATAAAATCTGAACCTGTCAATAATATAATTATAAAATCTTTACCCGTCAATAATATGATTAAAAAATCTGAACCTGTCAATAATATAATTATAAAATCTGAATTATATAATTATAAAATCTTAACCTGTCAATAATATGATTATAAAATCTGAACCTGTCAAAAATATAATTATAAAATCTGAACCTGTCAATAATATAATTATTAAATCTGAACCTGTCAATAATAATATGTCAATAGATATTCATATTTTTTTAACTGTTTATTTTCATTTGCGGTTTCTCTGCAATACTATAATAATAAATCTGAACCTATCAATAATATAATTATAAAATCTGAACCTGTCAATAATATAATTATAAAATCTGAACCTGTCAATAATATAATTATAAAATCTGAACCTGTCAATAATATAATAATAAAATCTGAACCTGTCAATACTATAATTATAAAATCTGAACCTGTCAATAATATAATTATAAAATCTGAACCTGTCAATAATATAATAATAAAATCTGAACCTGTCAATACTATAATTATAAAATCTTAACCTGTCAATAATATAATTATAAAATCTCAACCTGTCAATAATATAATTATAAAATCTCAACCTGTCAAAAGTATAATTATAAAATCTGAACCTGTCAATGATATAATTATAAAATCTTAACCTGTCAATACTATAATTATAAAATCTCAACCTTTCAATAATATAATTATAAAATCTTAACCTTTCAATAATGTAATTATAAAATCTGAACCTATCAATAATATAATTATAAAATCTGAACCTGTCAATAATGTAATTATAAAATCTGAAGCTGTCAATAATATAATTATAAAATCTCAACCTTTCAATAATATAATTATAAAATCTGAACCTGTCAATAATATAATTATAAAATCTTAACCTGTCAATAATATGATTATAAAATCTTAACCTTTCAATAATATAATTATAAAATCTGAACCTGTCAATACTATAATTATAAAATCTTAGCCTGTCAATAATATAATTATAAAATCTCAACCTTTCAATAATATAATTATAAAATCTTAACCTTTCAATAATGTAATTATAAAATCTTAACCTTTCAATAATATAATTATAAAATCTCAACCTTTCAATACTATAATTATAAAATCTTAACCTGTCAATAATATAATTATAAAATCTGAACCTGTCAATAATGTAATTATAAAATCTTAACCTTTCAATAATATAATTATAAAATCTGAATTATATAATTATAAAATCTTAATCTGTCAATAATATAATTATAAAATCTGAACCTGTCAATACTATAATTATAAAATCTTAACCTGTCAATAATATAATTATAAAATCTCAACCTTTCAATAATATAATTATAAAATCTCAACCTTTCAATACTATAATTATAAAATCTCAACCTTTCAATAATATAATTATAAAATCTGAACCTGTCAATAGTATAATTATAAAATCTTAACCTGTCAATAATATAAATTTAAAATCTCAACCTTTCAATAATTTAACTATAAAATCTTAACCTGTCAATAATATAATTGGTTTCAAAATCATCATCATCTTCTCCAAAAGGGTTGATCAGAGACTCGGCAACCTTTAAAATAAATAAAAAAATTTAATTTTAATAAAAAAATGCCAAAAAGAAGGATAAAAAAATTAAAAGACTCCTACCTTTAACCATCCAAAGTAGAATACAAACTCCAGTAGGGTAAAGGTGGGGATATACATATCGAAAATACTAAAAAATACATTATTAGTTTTTAAAAACAATTATTTTGTATTTATTTGTTTTCTTACCATCAATTTCTTAATTTATACCGAGTCTAAAACTAAAGAACGAAAAGTTTTGACTTAAATTTTAAGTTCATGGTTAAATACCACTTCTGACTTAATTTAAACCTGAACTTTAACCGTGAGGTTAAATATTTAACCCTGTGGTTAAATATTTAACTCGCCGAAATAGACGAGTTAAATTTTAAACAGAGGTTTAAATTATCTTGAAATCCTGCATTTTCCCTATTTGTCTATTATTCAATCATCATTCTGCTGCAGCTGAGAAAGCGGCATTCAACTTTACGATACATTTAAAAGTGAAAACCTTGTTAAAGAAATTTCACGTTTTAGATAAATTAATTTTTGGATGTAAACCCAAAAAACGGTTGTATGTTTTGTTTTCGGTTACGTAAGAACAGCTGATTAGCGATGGTTATGTAATATTCTCCGTAAATCCTTTTCTCTGATTGGTTCAGATTTTCCCAGGAAATTCAAATTTAAAATTGAGAAAGTTTAATATTTAAGTAGCTATTCATTATTTTACAGAACTTTTAACCTCGAACTTAAAATTCGCGCATTCTTTAGTTTTAGACTCTGTAGTATACATAAATAGGTTAATATAACAATATCCTATTCTTTAGTATACATTCGCATGTAAATATACCAATATCAGAAACATCTGCAATCCTCAACATTTGATAAAATAAAATTTCAATAATCAATATTTTAATCTTGAGATTCAGAATTTGAAAAATTATGATTGTGTTTTTAGTTGCTACACTTTACTGCACTAAACAGGATTTGGACGTGTATTAGACCTAAGAGAAGAATATCTTTAAATCTCGTCTTTTCAAAATTAAAAATAGGTTCAGTTTTCAGTGAAAACTTCATCTTAAAGTAAAGAAACGACTTCTATTCTATTTATAAAAAAACATAGGTAACATAATTTTGGGTCAATGTATTATTCCTGCGATAATCAAAATACTTTTCTAAAATTAGTTCGGTAGTTCAAAGTGGTCGAAATTAAATTTTTTTTTTCAAATTTGGTTCTCTTTTGTGTTAAGCCTTGCCCAGTAATATGTCTGACCTTCTAAAAGTTTTTTCTACCAAGTAGCAATTTTTTTATTTTTAAGTGCTTAAAAAGTTGAAAACTCGCGATTTGTTCCGCTGAAAGTTTCACGAAAAGTTCCGTAAGTGTTCCGCAAGACATTTACGGAACCAAATTGATCCGGAAAAGACTGGAAACCCTAATTAAAAAATTCTAATATATGGTTGGCTGGAAGGTTGAACCAAACCAGATTAGAAATAAAACACCATGGAGACCACTTATATATATATATAAATCGACATTGCTATGATATCCTCATTACTACTAAAACAAAAACAATATCAAATAAAACAGAATCATTTAATGAAAAAACGTGTACACAATTAATAACAGTTTAAATAGTCACCTATAGGTTGGGGAGACACTGGTCAACTGATTCGGTTTGAAAAAATTGTGAATCGGTATAAAATGGAGTGAAGAGGGGTGGGGAGGTAATTAAGTAGGAAGGATATAAAATTACAAGGGGGGGGGGGGTGACGGTCTTCTTTATCTTGAGCTAGGGTGTAGAACTAGTTTAAACTAAAAGTTCTCATACTCGCCTATCATCATATCCGACCAGGTTTCCAGTTGCTCCAGGTCTGTAATCGTGCTCATCTACCTTGTAGAACATCTCTCCGTCTATCAAGTATCTGAAATAAAAAATTCTGAATTTTAAAATATGTGACGTTTATTAAACATAATTTTTAATGATAAAACTAAAAGTTAAAGCAAAAATATAGCATCTTGGAACTAAGCCAACCTCCCAAAATAATGTGATCAACATTTTATCTCCAGATTTTCAATGGGAATCCAATTCGACGATTTACTGTCAAAGAAACATAGGCCCCAAAAATAAAGTTTTCCAAAAGTATTTAACTATTTTTTTTTGAATATCGAAAATGTATGCACTGTTTAGAAAATCGGAAAATTGTTACTAAATTCTTGTTCTTGTTCTAAAATTTAATCATTTCCGTTCAGATATATTTTTTATTTAGGGAGACAACGTGAAATGTTAATGTACTTATTAAATGAAAAATCATTTAAAATTACGAGGAGAGACTCCTTTTAAATTCAACTTACTTGGTGGGAGTTAGATACTGACTACCGAAGAGCGCAGCAAAGAAGTATGTATAAACAGCTATAGTCACTAGCTGGGTATACACTGAAATAAAATATATTCATTATTTTGAACAGATTTTAAATTAATTTTAAGATTAATCCATATTTATGGTAATGTTTAAAAATATTAAAAAATACAGAATTATCTTAAATAATCAAAATATGCTGAAATAATTATTATAAACAAAAATAAAAGAAATTCAAGAAATATTTCTTAAAAAACACAAATCTTTATTATCTTTCAAAATGATGAAAAATTATGCAAAAGAAAAAAACTAAATATTTGATTACCTAGGGGTATACTAACCCAGCCATAACAAAACATTCTCCAATTCTGATCAGCAATGTTCATCAGAGAGTCTTGAAGTTTACTTAAAACAAGGATGGAAAACATATTAGTTTGATCATTAGTTTTCATACAATCCAAATTTAGAAATAGTTAAATGCTAGAAATTGGATAAGATGAAATACGTAAAACTTTCTATTTTATCAGCATACTTTTATTTCTAAAATGAATTGTGCAATATTTATGCATAATGGAAATTAATTCTTAGTTCATAATGACAACACGCACACTGCTAGATCAGGTATTCCAGCTTTCAAATGATGCCATATTCTAGCAGCTAGAATTTCTTAATAACTAATTGTTTTGTGAAACCCAGCAAAGATGACATTTAATATTTTAAAAAATGTCTTCAATCTATCCAACAGCACTTGCCTTCTGATGAACTAGGAACAAGTAGAACATTTTGTATTTTTAAAGGAAGAAATATTTGTGTGTTATTGTGTCATTAAGTTTTAAGTGCGAAGAAATAATGCACTAAAATGTCGTCTTTCAATTGGGCAAACCAAGTTTAACTAAGTTCAACAGTGTAAACGATATGATAATATTTAGCATAGATTGGGAACCCAATGTATGCGACCCTCTTATTAGCCCCCAGACACGGACAAAAATTCTTGGAGCTTAATGAAGTTTGTCAATATTCTGTTGATGTCTGTCCTTAGCTTGTTGTCTTTAAACTTAATGTGAGGAACTTTAATCCATGTATTCCTGTAATTATTATTATTATTATTATAAGACAGCCCCCGCCAGTCAGCTTTACATATTAGACTATACTTACGACATCCAGAGATCCGCAGGAATCAGTGCATCTTTTCTGCTCTTCCTGACAGCCTCCTAAAGATGCGGTTAAATCAAGTCATGAAGCTTCCCAACCATAGCTCATCCCCCCCCCTTGAATAGATAAAAAAGGCATAAAATGAAAAATACAAAATTTCATTTCAAAGACTTTTTTATTTCTAAAATACTGAATCTGAAGAATATTAAATGAAGGATCTGACCTAATAACCAAGATTACAATGAAGGATAACCAAGATTATATAATAATAACCAAGATTACAAGATATTAACCAAGATTACACATAAGGGATCTGACTTAATAACCAAGATTACAAATGAAGGATCTATAACTTTATAACCAAGATGGCAAATGAAGGATGTAACTTAATAACCAAGATTACGAATGAAGGATCTGACCTAATAACCAAAATTACAAATAAAGGATCTAACCAAATAACCAAGATTACAAATGAAGGATCTAACCTTATAAACAAGATTACAAATAAAGTATCTGACTTAAGAACCAAGCTTCTAAACATGAAATGAAATCAAACCTGAGCCCATGAAATCGGATACCAAGACAAATCATGTCTTCCACCTGTTTTCTCCAGCATCAGATCCAGCTTTCCTAGCTCCTAGATGAAAATGGAACAAGTTAAGTGCAGTAAAGATGCCTGTCTATTGGTACAATAAGCTGTACATAAAGTTAGCAGTACGTACAATAAATTGGCCAAACAATACAAAAATCAATTACAAGATAAATTTCCCTGACAAGATACCTAGTATTCCCTGACAAGATATCAAGTATTCCCTGACAAGATATTTAGTATTCCCTGACAAGATATCAAGTATTCCCTGACAAGATATCAAGTATTAAAGAAACTTACCTTAGAAGTGAGGAGTCCTGCCTCTATTAAATGTTCAAGAGTTGGAAATCTCAGGGCAACCTTTACATATAACAAACTTTAGAAAATATTATAGGTTTTAATGTAAAATCAGAGGTCAGAGTTAATGATTGAACTATTTTTTAATTAATGCACTCTCGAGTCTTGATGAACCACTTCAGAGAAATAGTTCAACTCTGGAATAATGACGTAAATAGAACACTAGACTAAAAGCAGTTTCTAGTTTTCAACAGTGAAAAATATTATAAAAACTATGACAATCTATATACTGTATTTCCTACAGGTTGATTCCGATGTATATTGTTAAATAATCAGCGAGCCTTCACTTACCAAACCATTTTTACACCCAAGATTTATATTTTGTTATTTTCAATTCTCTTTTTACTTTCTACTTGAACCCAGTCAAATGTGATGGCCATTAGTCAATACTCTCTTATTCACGGATCAAAACTGGAGATATCTTAGCTCTAGTTGGATTAACTGTAGAAAATTACTTAGCTCTAGTTGGATTCTAAACTGGAGATACCTTAGCTCTAGTTGAATTCTAAACTGGAGATATCTTAGCTCTAGTTGGATTCTAAACTGGAGATATCTTAGCTCTAGTTGGATTAACTGTAGATAATAACTTAGCTCTAGTCGGATTCTAAACTGGAGATACCTTAGCTCTAGTTGGATTCTAAACTGGAGATATCTTAACTCTAGTTGAATTCTAAACTGGAGATATCTTAGCTCTAGTTGGATTCTAAACTGGAGATAACTTAGCTCTAGTTGGATTCTAAAACTGGAGATACCTTAGCTCTAGTTGGATTCTAAAACCAAAGAGTTTTGTCGGAATAAGGTCCGTCCTAAAAACGTGCTTTAGAGGAAGATGTAAGATGTCTCACGCTAGATTTTAAAATCATAGATAATTAGGACGTACTCTGGTTGACCACTGCCATTCACTTGCAGCGAATCTGTTTACAAAATGGTCTAGAAGACTTAACATTGTCATTATTTGACCTGAATCCTACCTTACTGCTAATCATTCGAAGAGTCAGCACGTTAGATAAGCAGGCCCATCTAATACAGGAACGTCGGGTAGTCCTCAAAAATAACAATTTATTTTAACTTCAATATTCATTTTATGTTCCTAGGGAGTAATATCATAAATTCCAATTATAAAAAAAAATAATGATCTCACGAGATCTTTGATTTTCAAATATAAGTGTTATTTTCAACCAGAACAAGTTTTGTAAATTTAGTGTTTGTTCTTGCTCGATCAATATATACATTCTCATTGTAACTGTAAAGTGTACATGTAAATATGTCTTGTTGTAATATAAGATACAGTCTACAGTGACACAGTTTACATACTACAGTCTACAGTGATACAGTTTACATACTACAGTCTACAGTGATACAGTTTACATAATACAGTCTAAAGTGACACAGTTTACATACTACGGTCTACAGTGATACAGTTTACATACTACAGTCTACAGTGACACATTTTACATACTACAGTCTACAGTGATACAGTTTACATGCTACAGTCTATAGTGATACAGTTCACATACTACGGTCTACAGTGATACAGTTTACATACTACGGTCTACAGTGACACATTTTACATACTACAGTCTACAGTGATACAGTTTACATACCACAGTCTGCAGTAATACAGTTTACATACTACGATCTACAGTGATACAGTTTACATACTACGATCTACAGTGATACAGTTTACATACTACGGTCTACAGTGATACAGTTTACATACTACGATCTACAGTGATACAGTTTACATACTACGATCTACATTGATACAGTTTACATACTACCGTCTACAGTGATATAGTTTACATACTACAGTCTACAGTGATTTAGTCTATAACAGTCAACGGTCAGTATATTTGTAGCAGGTTAATAATACAGCAAACTATTAAGCTTTTCAAATTGTTAATTTTAATAAGATAACTACTTCAAAACTGTTTAATTACTTAAATTACATATCAAGTTATCCTTAAGTTACCTAAAATTATCCTGTTTTATGGTTAACACCAAAATGTTACTTACAATTAATTTGGAAAATTACTGATATGTTACCTACAATTACTTTATAATATGGTAACTAATGATATGCTACCTACAATTACTTAATAATATGCTAACTAATGATATGTTACCTACAATTACATAATAATATGCTAACTAATGATATGTTACCAACAATTACTTTATAATATGGTAACTAATGATATGCTACCTACAATTACTATATAATATGGTAACTAATGATATGTTACCAACAAATACTTTATCATATGGTAACTAATGATATGCTACCTACAATTACTTTATAATTTGGTAACTAATGATATGTTACTTACAATTACTTTATAATATGGTAACTAATGATATGCTACCTACAATTACTATATAATATGGTAACTAATGATATGCTACCTACAATTACTATATAATATGGTAACTAATAATATGCTACCTACAATTACTTAATAATATGCTAACTAATGATATGTTACCTACAATTACATAATAATATGCTAACTAATGATATGTTACCAACAACTACTTTATAATATGGTAACTAATGATATGCTACCTACAATTACTATATAATATGGTAACTAATGATATGTTACCAACAATTACTTTATCATATGGTAACTGATGATATGCTACCTACAATTACTTCATAATATGGTAACTAATGATATGCTACCTACAATTACTATATAATATGGTAACTAATGATATGCTACCTACAATTATTCATAAATATGGTAACTAATGATATACTACCTACAATTATCCATAAATATGGTAACTAATGATATGCTACCTACAATTATTCATAAATATGGAAACTGATAATGAATTAACTACAACTATTCTGTAAAGTTAAAGATATGTTACCTGCAGTTAAGATAGCACGTCAGCTGCTGGGCAAGCCTAAATTAATAAATTATCGACATTAAGATAAATAATAATTAACCTATTATACTTTAATGATAAGAAAAAAAAAAACGGTTGACGTCATGCTATGATTCAAGTTCTAAAATTAAACTAATGTTAATTTTAGTATCAAAATTGGTTCAAAGTGTTAAGCTTTGTAAATCTTTCTCCGATCTCTACTGAAAACATTTTCCCGGAACTTGTAAAAAAAACTAAATCTTACAAATGCTTTATTAGTTTAGTATACCTGTCTGGCCAAGCCAATGCATTCCATTGATCCCACCATCTTGAAACTACCTGAATATAAATATTATTATAAATTATAACTTANATGTATTTGATAATAAAAGTGTTCAGCATATATGTATTTGATAATAAAAGTGTTCAGCATATATGTATTTGATAATAAAAGTGTTCAGCATATATGTATTTGATAATAAAAGTGTTCAGCATATATGTATTTGATAATAAAAGTGTTCAGCATATATGTATTTGATAATAAAAGTGTTCAGCATATATGTATTTGATAATAAAAGTGTTCAGCATATATGTATTTGATAATAAAATTTTAGATAAAACAGTTTTTTCATATTTACTAAAATGAAAAAGGGAATCTCATTGGTTAAACATTTTAAAAATTTTTGTCAACTGAAAAATTTGAAATAGAAACATGCAAAGAAATCTGGATTGAATCATTTGCATTTGCCCCCATCCCCCCTACAATGTTATTAAGCTACACAATTACGTAACTAACATTAAAAAAGGGTTTAGCCTATTGTACCCCCCCCCCTTTCAAAACGTTCAATTGCGCCTCTATACTATGAACATTAACATACCTGGGAAACATAGAAACCAAGAATAAATGAGAGAGGGATCCTTCAAAAGAAAGAACAAAGTTTATTATTTGTGTTTCTTCATCTTTTTGTGACAGAAACCAAATTCAAGTGACACTTCGATACAAGAGAGTCATGTCGGATTCACAACGGATTAATCAATCAATAATTGAAATAATTTAAAAAAGAACAAAACAACTATTTTAGTTTCCTTTTTATCTCATCAAACATAAAACATAATAAAAGCGTCATAATATAAAAATTAAGACAAAAGCATTTAAGAGATGCAAAAAATAATCTACAAATAATCATTGCTTGTCAAAACTATTTGCTCAAACAACGAGTTAAAGGAAAAAAAAACAACTTTAAGTATTTGTTCTTCTTATTTCCTTTGTATTCCTTTAGAGCAGTAAACACAGAACACTTCAAAATTATCTTTGCTCTATTATTTCATCAATATATCAAGTAAAGTTATTTTTTGAACACTTATCTGATCCATATATCTTTACAACCTGATTTCGTGGACCTTTGATATAACTATAAATTGAATAAGATGAATTAGAAATTGCAATGGTTTCTATATACTAACCGATTGCAAAAAGATTTAAATATTGGGAAATTTGGGATTAAGGTTAGTGTTCACTTCCTTTGGGAACAAATTGTTATTGTAAATATTTAGCCATGGTTGATTTGACGAGAAAAAAACATCTAACTATATATAAAAACCTTTTTTAATAAAACAAAAAGTTCATATATATGCTCCCAATAGCCGGGCAAACGGCTAGACCGAATGCGCTGAATTTTTTTGTGGACACTAATGGGGATGACATAGGCTGAAAAAAATTTCAAATTTTTTTTTCCCGCGGACAATGCAGGGCCATTCAGCTAGTATTTTCATAAATATATTGAATCCTGCCTTCTCATCCAGAACTAGAACGTATCTGTACATAATACTAAAATAAGAAATGTTAAAATAATAATCACAGATATGTGGATGAAATACATGAACAGATCATTGATCTGTAGATGTAATACAAGATAAGATCACAGATCTTTGATTGTACTAGGAAATATCACAGATCTGTGGATGAAATACAAGAAAAGATCACAGGTCTGTGGATGTAATACAAGATAAGATCACAGATCTTTGATTGTACTAGGAAATATCACAGATCTGTGGATGAAATACAAGATAAGATCACAGGTCTGTGGATGTAATACAAGATAAGATCACAGATCTTTGATTGTACTAGGAAATATCACAGATATGTGGATGAAATACAAGAAAAGATCATTGATCTGTAGATGTAATACAAGATAAGATCACAGATCTTTGATTGTACTAGGAAATATCACTGATCTTTGATTGTACAGATCTAGGAAATATCACAGATATGTGGATGAAATACAAGAAAAGATCATTGATCTGTAGATGTAATACAAGATAAGATCACAGATATTTTGATTGTACAGGAAATATCACAGATCTGTGGATGAAATACAAGAAAAGATCACAGGTCTGTTGATGTAATACAAGATAAGATCACAGATCTTTGATTGTACTAGGAAATATCACAGATCTGTGGATGAAATACAAGATAAGATCACAAGTCTGTGGATGTAATACAAGATAAGATCACAGATCGTTGATTGTACTAGGAAATATCACAGATCTGTGGATGAAATACAAGGTAAGATCACAGGTCTGTTGATGTAATACAAGATAAGATCACAGATCTTTGATTGTACTAGGAAATATCACAGATCTGTGGATGAAATACACGAAAAGATCATAGATCTGTAAATGTAATACAAGATAAGATCACAGATCTTTGATTGTACTAGGAAATATCACAGATCTGTAGATGTAATACAAGGAAAGATCACAGATATGTGGATGTAATACAAGATAAGATCACAGATCTTCGATTGAACTAGGAAATATCACAGATCTGGGGATGAGATAAAAGATAAGATCACAGGTCTGCGGATGTAATACAAGATAAGATCACAGATCTTTGATTGTACTAGGAAATATCACAGATCTGAAGATGTAATACAAGGAAAGATCACAGATATGTGGATGTAATATACGAGGTTAGATCACAGATCTGTGGATGTAACACAAGGAAATATCACAGATCTGTAGATGTAATACAAGGAAGGATCACAGATCTGTGGATGTGATAGATGTAATAGAAGGAAGGATCACAGATCTGTGGATGTAATACAAGGAGAGATCACAAATCTGTAGATAAATACAAGGAAAGATCACAGATATGTGGATTTAATATACGAGGTTAGATCACAGATCTGTGGATGTAACACAAGGAAATATCACAGATCTGCAGATGTAATACAAGGAAAGATCACAACCGCCTTTCATTATTCGCGAACACGCTCTTTAATACAAGGAAAGATCACAAATTTGTGGATGTATTACAAGGAAAGTTCAGATCTGTGGATGCAATGAATGCAAATTATGCAATTCAATGAAAAGATCATAACAAGTGAACAGGTCTATCCTAAAAATTTTCTATTGAATTTAAATTTACGCGATATGACGCAATTACCTGATAAATGCGTATAGAGAGATGAATAAACAAAGATCCCTCCAAACCCCCTTAAAATTAAGGTTTTTTTTGGAAATTTTCAAAAATTTTGTGAAATTAGGATTTGCGAATTATAAAACTACCTTCCAGACACTTCCTCTCCAAATTAATAAAATCCTGCTGAAAACTCCAAGTTTGGCTGCAGTGTGCGTATATTGCATGTAGGTTACCGTCATTTTGAAAACTCGTCGTCACTACGTTTTCGTCGATTTAGACGATTTGTTAGGGAGTTGAAATCTCTCGGTCAGTAATGTATTCTGACAAACTGAAACACACTTTTTCAAGTTGTACAGATGTACAGATTAGGGTGTACAGTTTACAGAGCACACATTTCGGCGTATATATGGTTGTACAACTAAAATGTAAATTTAATTTGTAGTTCCCTCTTGTCTTGACGATAAGGGGGTTGTGACACGTAACCCTTCAAGTTGTTTACTACTAGTAGTCACTTGTAGTCAGGTATTAAGCAGAGGGAGATAAGAGGGGTCAGTTCAAGGTACTAATGCAAGGAAAGTTAATTGCGGTCGCGTATACACTGCGTACATATTAAAACCAGTTCTATCTGGGCGGATTTGTAAACAAGAAAAGGTGCATCAGTGTTCGTATAGTATCCGAGGAGGTTAAAAGCATTTAATTTTGATAATTTTAAAAAATTCGCATAATAGTTTCTTATGACCAGAATATTTCATAGATTATTTTTGTGAAAATGGATTCCATGTCAGGCTATGACATCCGTCTTGTGTTTACTTTTCCTCCCAAAGACATTACACTACAATAAAAAAATGTATACACAACTAAAATAACTTTCCTTGCATTAGTACCTTGGGTCAGTTAATGCGATGGACAGCTAAGGAGTTACTGGAGGGGAGGGGGACTTCTAAATTAAAACTTTAATGGAATTTTAATTATAAATCATAGTTTAATGATTCATAGATGGTAAATTTTATAAAAATTGTTGAAAATTTATGTGTAAGGAATTCTGTTCTGTGGAAATTTCCATTTTATGATGTATCAATTAGGACTATGGCATACCGCCACCGGTAAGGCCGGTCAGTCGGCGAGGAGGAGGAGGAGGGGGGGGAGGTTAATTCAAGTTCAAGGAAACATCAGTTCAATATAAACTTCATCTTTGTCCTGTAGGCTGTACTATACAAATCTATAATCTAAAAAGAATTGAAGTTAACTCATCTTGTCCTTTATTAATCTGAAATTATAACGTTAATTCAAATTTAACATAATTGAGAAAAATGGTTGAAAAGTACAAGTATATATGTTCGAGTTGTAGTTGCAACTACAGGGTGTCCCAAAAAACATGGGAATTCAGTGACGAATTCGATATCGTCTTTGTTATGAATTAGCATTGTAATACCTAATTTCAAAAGCCATAATATTATTATGTCTGCTAGAGTTTATTTTATGAAAAGGGTAAAAGACTACAAAGATGTGTTTATAATGTCTCCGCAAGATGAACAGTGAATACGGACAAGTTTACTCTGTTTGTATACTGCAATTTTCTTGTTTTACTAAGTACAACCGTATGCAGTCAAAACATAAACAAACAAAATGTAAACATAGCAGACGAAACTCTTACAGATTACAGCTTTCTCAGTAGGTATCACTATACTAAATCGAAGAATTATTTGAAAAGACGATATCGAATTCGTCACTGAATTCCCATGTTTTTTGGGACACCCTGTAGCATAATCATGTGATAACAGCTCAAATGGTGAACTAAAAAAACACCGATCAATCTTAGATATTTGAATTTGTCAAAACAACTTTTAAAAATGAATCCCATGGAATTGTATTGACTTCTTTGTTGAAGGTAAACAGACAATAGATATGCACTCATTTTGGGGGTTATGACATTCAACTTTTTTTAGACAGGACATTTTTAAAGGACATTGAATATCCGCCATAAACTAAAGTTTACGCTTGTAAACAGACTTCATAATAGACATTATCAATTACCAATAAAGTAGAATAGAATAAGTTTAACATTTTTTGTTGCTTCGACAAAGTTTTCCATAATTTTGAGAACCTGTTCAGCATTAGCTCAATATTTGAGAACCTGTTCAGCATTAGCTCAATATTTTAGAACCTGTTCAGCATTAGCTCAATATTTCAACAACAAAAAGAATGCATGAACTGATATTGAACCTGTTCAGCATTAGCTCAATATTTCAACAACAAAAAGAATGCATGAACTGATATTGAACAGGATTTTTAGGTGATATTATTGTAATTAGCAGGGGTGGTAAAATCAGTTTCTGTTTTATCACTGAAGTTAAGCAATATTTACTCTGGCCAGAAATTGGATTGGTGTCCACAGTGGTTGTCACAGGGGCTAATCCCTTAACCTCAAACAAAATATTATGGAAAAATATCTGCTAAACCCTATAAGGCTTGTTTCTTGAAAGCAAACCCCTACAAGCGTGGTTTCTGGCAATGAACCCCCTAATGTACATGTGCAGTCCCTGGAAGGGAACCCCTTTATGTGTTGTTCCTGAAAGTCAACCTTTATGTGTTTGGCCCCCCGGAATGGAACCTTTGATAAGCGAGGTTCCAGGTGGTGAGCCTCTACATGCATGGTCTCTGAAATTAAATCCCTATGTTCTTGCTCCTTGGATCAGTGACCCCTAAACTGCGTGATCCAATGCCGTAGCTATTAAAAAGAATAGACTCTCTAAAAGTGAGATTCACTCGGATGAATTAAATAAAAAAAACCCGGTCTTCAACTGCTGGTAACTGGATGTATTACCCTCAGCACTACAGTTGTAAATTATGAAGTAAAAAAACTGAAAAAAAAATTAAATTTGAATTCAAATTAAAAAAAATTTTAGAAATGTATTTTTAAATATTGGAGTCGAAAACAAAATGTTGAAGAATGTTGGACGTACACGCCCGAATTGTTTACACCTTTGTATATTGTTAAATCCTGTATAGTTTACATCCCTGAATCTCTGAACGTATAGTTTACATCCCTGAATCTCTAAACATAAAATTTACATTCCTGAATCTCTAAACGTATATTTCATTTCCCTGTATATCTAAACGTAAAGTTTACACTCCTGAATCACTAAATGTAAAGTTTACATCCCTGAATCTCTAAACGTATAGTTTACATCCCTGAATCTCTAAACGTATATTTCATATCCCTGTATATCTAAACGTAAAGTTTACACTCCTGAATCTCTAAATGTAAAGTTTACATCCCTGAATCTCTTAACGTAAAGTTTACACTCCTGAATCTCTAAATGTAAAGTTTACATCCCTGAATCTCTAAACGTATATTTCATATCCCTGTATATCTAAACGTAAAGTTTACACCCTGAATATCTAAATGTAAAGTTTACATCCCTGAATCTCTAAACGTAAAGTTTACACTCCTGAATCTCTAAATGTAAAGTTTACATCCCTGAATATCTAAACGTAAAGTTTACACTCCTGAATCTCTAAATGTAAAGTTTACATCCCTGAATATCTAAACGTGCATACCTAACAGCGATCCTAAACTTATCCTTAAACTTATTTATTCTTCTCCAGGAATATCAATGGAAAGATAAACTTCATATTTTGTCTATTCTAGATATCTATCTATCCATCTTCATCCAAGCATTATTATCATTATTATATTAGTAGAATTACTAGTTGATACTACTACAATACTACTAACTTTAAAAATCCTCATTATCAATAGGGATGGAGTTAGGCATTGGTTTTAATGGAATGTTTGTAGTTTAACTGAATTATTTCACCCAAAAAACATGTCATTCAGTTATTTGTTTCCCCTTTATGATTTAACCAAAAACCGTGACAAATCTTTGAGGTCATGATGAATATTGAGTTGATAATACAACTTTTGCATACAATATAAAATGTTAATAACCTCCTAGTGGAGCTTACTGCACCCTGGAAAAGAACCCCAACATGACAATTGAGTTTTATTTATTTATCCTTTTTTGAACTTATTTATTTTAGGTGGAAAATAAGTTTTTGTTTGGATTTGTTATATTTGTTCACCAGACAAACAATTATTGATTGAGTTATATACTCATTTGAACACTCTTTTTAGAAATGATAAAGCACAAACTATATTTTGAAATATATCAATGAAAGCAGGCATTCCAGAATTGTTTAAATGAATTCATAATTTTTTGTTAAACAGTGATAACCAAAAAACTCTGAAATAGGAAGAGGACTTATATTTATACTTAAGTGTATTTGATGGTGTTACAGAGCAATTAGTTTTACTAGACACATATTAAGTCCCTAATTAATTGTAATGGGTTTGTTTAAATTGTACAATTGCTGCGTACCATATGCATTGGACCAATTAAAGTCATATCTCCAGTCTGAAAGTCGTCTTCACATTTCAGAGTTTTCTGGTTATCACTGTAGAAAGTTAGATTATTGGATATTTGTCAAATTAGGAACATATAAATGTTCATACTTAAAAACTGTTCAAGGAAATTTTTGTTTGAACGTTTGATATATTAAATATGTTCATTTATACCATAGATAAATAAATAAACATAGATAGCTTATGTACGCAAAATCATCAAGAATTGTACAGTCTGCGAACTCAACTTATAGGGGTCAAAGTGTACTTCAATGATAAGCGGGGTGGTTTGGTGTTTTAATGGATTTCATAATTATTAAACCACTCAGGAGTGAATTTAATTTTGAGAATATCAAATTATCAAATTATCATATTGACGAGAACTGAAGAAGGACATGAGAAGAGATTTCTGAAAATATTTAAATGGAGAATTTGTTTTCCATGTAACTATTAAAATCCACTACTCCTTTATCGTGTGCAGGATTACATTTTCACAGAAAAACGTACATTTACAGTCTTTTACAGAGCAATATTTCATCGTTAATAAACTGTTCTGAGTAAAATTCAAGATACAAAACCTCCCCATACACTTGTACTCCGAAAGCGTATGATGTTTGTACTCTATGAATATGCCGTAATCTGTTAATATCCTTTATCAGTAAACTATCCCAATTGTACAATCAGACTAATACACACGGAGAGGTAGCTAAGATCCAGCCCCCCTGCTTTTAACTAGATGTTTAGGGATGTGTGATTATGATAGTTAGAGAAATCAATTCCCAATCGACCAAAGATCTAACTCGGAACCCCATAAATCTATTTATGGGTTGATTTAATCACCACGAGAACAAGATGATTGGTCGGATACGTGGGATCTAATCTAATCAACACGAGAACAAGATGATTGGTCGGATATGTGGGATCTAATCTATAATCACCACGAGAACAAGATGATTGGTCGGATATGTGGGATCTAATCTAACGTATCCGAACACGAGAACAAGATGATTGGTCGGATATGTGGGATCTAACGTATCTAACGTACCCGAAGTATTATCCAAAGCGAATTTGCTTAAGAAGACGACATACAGTTCTATCACTT